ATGGTCACTCTTCCCTTGCTCTTTCCTTTTCTCTCTGCATCTGGTTGGTCATCAATCTGGCTGAGCATCGCCTCTTAAAAGTATTTCTCAAATTCTTTCCGCAATTCCTGCTCCAAAATCTCCCTCCTGTTTCAGATCTGAATGACTACAATACCTGCTTAGCTGGTATCCCTGAGCCCTCCACTCTTGACCCCTGTGAATCTGTCTTCCACACTCATTCCAGGGACATGGTCTAAAATTGATCCCGTCCTTTCTCGGCTCATCTTATAGGTGACGACTTCTCACTTAGAGAATAGTCTCCAAACTGGGCTACACAAAGACTTTTCAAGGGGTACATGTGCACGGATGGATTTTAAGAAATAAATTTCCAGGTCTTCTATATCTGAATGAACCTGCAATCACAGGGTTCTTCTACCCTTTACAAAAGAAAGTTAGGCTTTTCCCCATCCTAAATCTTTCTTTGGTCCGTTGGCCTAGGATGTAAAAACCTCTGAATATCAAACAAAAGGATAAAGTGAAATATTGGTTTTTAGCAAAACTTCTTAAGGTTAATCACAACACCTTGATCCCTCAGCTGAAACAGTAAAAGGTTAATGATGCCGATTCTTTTGAACGTAATTGGAATGCATGAAGGCCATCACATTTTTCAAGATAATTACATAAAAACCAAGGATAAATATTTTACAAGCATTCTTTCAAATTCAGTATACTTGATCAACAGAGTAGTTAAAATCTATTTATCAAATCATAAAATACGGTGTTCTTTCATAAACAGTCAATTCTCATCTTTCATTTTATAAAATGTTTATTTTCTATGTCGTTTTATGAAAAAAAGTAAACCGATGATGAAAAGATTTAAATATATATGAGGGGTTACACAGTTTTTTCTCTCCCAACATTTTTATTATGAAAAAATTTTAAACATTCAGAGAAGGTCGAGGAATTATACAGTGAACACCCATATATGCCCCACTTAGGTTCTATAAACCTTTTAATACACTGTTTTTTTCACATACCTAGCCATCCGTCTACGCCTCCATCAATCCACCTTGTTTTTTCCATGTGATTCGAACTAAGTTGCAGACATTAGGCACAGAGGTTTTTAATTATTTTAGTGGGTCTCTGAGCAGAAAAGTGTGAAGACCACAAACGTATAGAAGAGAGCCCACGCTCCTCAGCCTGGCTCCGTGGAGGGCACGACCGAGCCTTTGGAAGAGAGTGGTTTTTTTGGGTTTCTCTTTTGTGCTTTGTCCTTTGCTGCATCCAGTGTTCCAGCGACACAAAGCCACTTGAAGGTCCCCTGCCCCACTGAAGAATGCCTCTTTGTCATGGTGGCACAGGCTGTACTCTGTGCCCGGGGATTCCTCGCTGCCTCCCAGCTTCCCTGTCTCGTTTCTTCCTATCCTTTAAGACTCAGCCCAAGGGGCAATTTTTCCATCGTAGAGACTAAAAAAAAGGCTCGTTGAACTCTACTGAGTATGGTACAGTGAAAATTCCTTGCGTTGCAAATCAGATCTGAGAGTAAAACTCTTTCCTCATAATTCCCCTCAAAATTTTTTTCTCCACCTCTCATGTTTTGTTTTCATGTATCTCTCCTCTCTCTCTTAGTATCATGTTAGAACTCCTATGACCTGAATCCTTTGTGATTTGTATTTTATTTAATAATATATAATTTAAAAATAAATATTAAATATTTTTATAAAATAGTATATTTATATTTAAAAATATAAGCAAATATATTCGTATGTATATGCCTATATTCCTGGTCTTTTGGGGGAATGAAATCCAAAGTCCAGGTCCCATCAACACCAGCTGGGTAGCTCTACAAAGCTCATTTAATCTTTCTAGATCTTTGCTTATCTATTAAATGGAGGTAGAATTACCTGCTCTACCTACCTTACCATGTTGTCTTGAGGATGAAATTTATGTGAACTAATGTTTCCAAGGGCTTTGGAAAGAGGAAGTGCTGGGTGCATGGAAGACATTCCAGGTGTTTTTATGTGATATGCAGGGAGGAGGCATTGCTGGGAAAGGTCAGGATGTGGGCATCATGGTTTTATTTATCTGCCTGTGTGATAATTCTGGCCACAACCCCTTTCCTTTTCCTCTAAATTCTCCCACATGGTGGCTCCTTCCTGTCTAATTCAGTGCCAGCTGAAGCCAGCATGAGAGGCTGACAGATCCCTGACCCAGCGGACAAACTGCATGTGAGAGCTGCTGAGAGGCGTGTAGAAGCCTCTGATCAGAACCAGATTTAGGCCTCAGTGAGCTGCTTTATAGGAAGGCTTTACTGCATTTATCTCATGCAAACCCAATGAGAATGAACCATCTCTAGAGACCGCGTCTGTGCCTATTTCCCAGCCAGAGCAGAACAAAGACGTGGAGCCTCCCGGTATCAGTTAGGATTCCCTCAGGACAAGTAACAGGACCGTGAAGCAGCTGGCTGGAGCAGTCAGGACAGTATTTTCTCATGCAGCATGAAGTGGAGGGGCAGGGGCTCCAGGCTGGTTTGTTCAGTGGTGCAGTCATTAGGAGTCAGCCTCTTTCTGTTTCCCAACTCTGCCAGCAGCTCCAGGCACCACATCCAGACAAGACAATATCCAGAGAGAGAAGAAAACAATGGTCTCTTCCTTGGGTCCCTCTTGAAGATCAAGGAAATCTTTCTTCCAAGTCCTGCAATGTCGTTAGCCATGTTTTGCATGTTCGTTCCTGAACAAACCACTGGCAGGGGGAGGGCTGAGGCTACCATGGAAGACTGGGCCAATCAGAGCCCACCACTGTGGCTCTGGATGGGGCCAGTCTGTCTTCAAGCTCAAGGCTACTTGACCGAAAGAGAATGAAAGGCTAGATGTTGGAGAGGCAACCAACAGCATCTGCTAAATTCTGTCTAAATTAGCTAGTAACCTAAGGGAAACTGGGGAGATGCATACAAAGTAAGGATGGAGCAAATAGTTTGTGCAAGCAAGTTGTGTTGATTTATTTTCTTCCCTCCTTCCCTCTTTCTTTCTTTTTTTTTCTTTGTGGCTGGGCATTTTGACCAGTTATTAGTCAAGTGGTCAAAATGCCCGATTTTAGTTACCAAATTACTAACCTCTTCAATTCCATCAACTTACGTTATTCTTTCATTTTATCACCTTAAAATATTTCTCCTTTAAGTTGCTCTCTCAGGATTAATGTGTGTTTCCTCTGTATTTCCATAGCATGGTTTGATGACTCTTAACATAGACTCCCTCTGCAGAGCTGTTTCTGGAGGATTTGTTTTCCCAATGGCTAGTGAGCAAACAGAGCCCAGGGCTTCTCTAGTCTCATTTCAGTTCCCTGAGCAACTTTCCAGGTTTTCACACAAAGCAGGTGCTTCACACATGAGAGTTCATTTGGAAAAGGGGCAGTGCAGATGTGGTTGGGAAGGAGTCTCTTATTCTCTTTTAAATGAACTTTACAGCCAAGACATTGGTTCTAGATGCTTTCCTCAAAGCTTTCTTCAATTAGCCTACAACCATTCTAAGGATTTAAAACTCCCAAATTAAAAGGCTCTATGATTTTCTTTGGCCTAAGGGGAGATTATCTGTGTTCAGCCCTTTCTAATGGCGGGTTTCAACCAGTACATTGGCGGCCTTCCTATCCTTTACAATAGTCCCCTCCAATGGCTCCAGCCTCACGTCTGAAAAAGCTTGCTTTGAGATGAAAACAGCTATTTTCTTTAGTTTGGGGGTTGCTTTACTTTCCTCACTTCTTTTTCCTTTTTTGCTCTCATTGAAAAGTGGCCTTTCTTGGGCACTTTGAGAACTCAGTGCCCAAAGGTGAGCTCCTTCAGGAAGACTGTACACTTTGCCTTCATCCTGGGATGTGGACCCAAGCAGCCAGTGGAGGACTCACTTGCAGGACTCAGGGCTATCTTAGCTCCAGAATGCAATGACACACTTCAGCAGAAAAGATTTCTGTTTCTGTTTATTTTGAATTACTCTCTTTTATTCAGAACTGCTCATGTAGTGACTTGTGAACACCTGACACCTGAATGTCCTTTACAAGTGAAAACTTGGTATGTGATATATTGAAAGAGTAATGGACTCATCATGAGCCCTGAGGATCAGGAGGGTCCTTTGAACCAATATATTCTCTTTTTGATCCTAAAAGTTGATCAGTGGCTGTCGAGTCTGAAAGGGAAAGAGAAAGTCATTTATAATGTGGCCTTGTTCTATCCTTGGCCAGCCACCCCCATACATCTGGGAGAGGAGGATGGAAACGCAGGGAGAGGGAGATCTGTTCCCTGGTATTCTAACATGGTGTGCCCTGCATGGAAACAATGCTATAAATAACGGTTAGGTTCAAAGTTTACCCCGGGAAATTCTTCTTAATCCATAAAGTGCCTGAAGTCGCAAAATATATTTGTATAGAATTGTAGTTAAGGAAAGCTTTTGTGTGTGGTACCTTATTTGACCTTAATAATACTGTATGCTAATATTACTATCCCCACTTTACAGATGAGGAACATCTCTAGCTCACAGTATCTAGCGCATAGTAAGTACTCAATAAATGTTCACTGGATGAAGGAGCAATCAGTAGAAATAGTATGCTCAGTATCACATGGTATTGTGGTGAAGCTGGGCTGTGAATGCAGGTCTTTTGAGTCTCAGGCCCAGCCCAGGGATCTTTCCATCTCAGTGTTTCTCATTCTCGCCCATGGAAAGACTTTGGTGTTGGAAGAGAGTTGATGAAGCGACTGTGTCTGGGGACACAGCCTGAATTCTCCCAGTGAAAGATTTCTTAAAGAGTCTATACTTTACTGATTTAAAGAAGAGTTTTCCCCCCAAACAAATGTAGACATCCTTGTTGGAAAAAAGCAACTCACACGATGCAAATTTATATAAAGTAATTACAGGGTTAACTGCCGTTTACAGTTTCTGTGCACATCTGGATTTTATTTTAAAGGTTCATGTGAATTTAGCCTTCCACTTCATATACTCATCTACATGTTATATTTGAAATGACTTGTCTTCTAGTACGACTGATGCCAGGAAGATGCCTGCGTGTGTCCTGTGACTGTGGAGTCCCTGGAACATTGTGGCTTGCTCCTGTGGGTACAGGGAGTGTCCCAGTCGGAGGGCAATGGAGTCCTGCAGCTGCTCTTGCTTCTCGAGACTGAGCACGGATTATGAGAACCAGCCTGGGACTAACCATAACAAGTAAGGCTGTTTCCATGGGAAAATATATGCTGAGTTCTCAACAGATGACTGACTGGAACACCAGCTGGAGACTAACTGCATGCCTATGAGGTTACTGTTGATCTCAGAGTGGTTTACTTTCAGTCTCAACCTTTTTGTGAATCCCAGATTCTAGGGGTAAGCTATAAAATTCCTCCTTTTCCTTCCTGTCTCCCATTGGCCATATCTGGAGACACCAGGAGAGTAAATATGTTGGTGAAGACTTGTGTTAGTTGCTACAACGCCACAGGCTCGTGGTTATGAAAGTGGCATGCCACCATTCCATGCAGTGATTCTCTCATCAAACTTCTCCTTCAGAGCCTTTGAATCGACTGGTGATTCCACCCTCATCTCCTTCTGACCAAAACTGCCCTTAAAATGTGGATGACAAAGGTCTTTACAGAGAGCAGTGAGGGTTACATAGTGTTGTGTTCAGTGACACTTGCGTGATGAGAGCAATGAGCTTCAGCTTAGAATCAGGAGAGGGCGAACCTGATGCTTCCTCCTTTCAACTTGACTTTGGTTTTACCTACTTGATCTGTGAGTCAGCTTCTGAGGATAGAACATAAATTTTCTCCCTCTTCCTTTTCTCTCCCACACCATCCCTCAAATCTGCATGCACTCAGATGGATGGTCTGACTTCACTGGGGGAGGAAATCCCTCTAATTTAGATTTTGAAAGGAGTGGAAGGAGGGAGACAAAGGATCATTTTAGTGGGAAATAAAGTAAGGAATCTCCCCTCATTCCTGACTCAAGAAGATAAGTAGTGTACACAATGATGGAATTTCGGATAATCCCCCTGTTTGATTATGTTCCTGCACATTTCAGGAAATGGACTATTTGTCTAGTCCTTGCCTCCTGATTGTGTTAGGCCCATCACCCAGGCATGACTTGGATGATTAAATGCAGCACATGTACCAGGTCAGCAGTAATACAGCTCTTCTAAAAACATACATGTGTCCACTGTGGTGTCATTGTATGGGAGGCTGGGAAAATGAACTCTACTCTCAGGAGAAATAAAAGGGAAAAAGAATCAACAGCATCATTATAACTCTCTTTCTCCTTAGCCCCCTTTGTGCATTTTAGAGTTTCTGGCAAGTATTTTTCCTTCCATGCACTGTCTTGGTACTTTTCATTAAGAAAAGCTGGTACCTACTGAATTGTGGCTCTGTGATCTGAGGAGTATGATTTCCCCTCGTCTGTTTCACAAGAAGCCATTTGAAGTGGCGAGAGCTTGGGTTTAAATTAAGATGTCACTGACAAGCATGAGAAAGTGTTTAATTACTGTAATGACCTTCCGTTAATAAGAGGAAATATGACCTGAGCTATGTTGGAAGAGGCTACCTGAAACAGAGCGAAATCCACTGAACAAGCTGGCTCAGAAATAGAGACTGATCAGTGTCCCTATTGGAACTGGAAGGAGAAGCAATAGAAGAGAACTAACATTCACGGACTACCTACTGTGTGAGAGGCGCTGGATTTACTTTAAGGATGCTGTAACATTTACATCTGTAACTCACTTTGGGAGGGAGGTGTTTTTTTCCTCATCTTACAGGTTAAGAAACTGAGGCTTAGATCAGTTCAATGACTTACCCAAGGTCACACAGTTGACAGGTGGTGGAGCTGAGCTTTGTACTCAATTCTGCCTGACTGTTCCCATTATACCACATAAAAGGGCATGTGTTAATTTTAGTATTTGTGGTAAAATTAAACATAGACAAGCAAATTTTGTATGAAGTAATTTGAGGATTTGTAGGAGGATCCATGCTCCAAAACAGCTTCTTTCTCAGTCCAAAATTCTACGGTTAGAGATTATTCTTTTGGGTTAAATGTTAACTGTTTAAAATATCTGGAGGAAAAAAACACATATTAAGGCTCTGACGTTTTAAGATTTGATGCTCAGTGCTATTCTAAGAAAAGATCAAACTTCATATATCCCAAATCTTGAGAAAATTAGTAGCTGCCAATAGGTACGGATTGGGATGGTGGAGCTGGGATGATAGAGGCAAGGACAATGCTAACCAGTGACAAGCATGAGAAGGGACCAGCCATCATGCCCCTTTTCCTAACTGTTGGAACTCTAGTTAATTAGTAAGAAACATGGAGGCAGTAGTTCTAAAACCACCTGTCACAAATTGCCAGGGGCTCAGAGTCCAGACCTCAAGGAAGGGTCTGAAATGCTGGCAGAAAGAGGGAGAGGTGAGAAGGGGTCTCACTGGGGGCTCAGACTCAGTGTGTGGGGGGCAAAGGGGAGGAGAGGGTTACAGCTGAGCTCCTTCTGTCTCCTAAAGCCGTCTTCATCATTCCCCAAGGTCTGTTTATGTCACCAGCATCCTTCTAGTCACACTCAGGCCCAGAATCTCCTTCGCTTTTTATTTCTCTTGGTCTCTCACCCACCCCCTCCCCCAGTACACACACACACACACGCACACACACACACATCATTCTTTACCAATGACACTTCAAGATCTACTAGGATCTTGCACAACTGATTGTGAGTGGCTTTCTTCAGATTTTTCAATAACTATTAGCACTAAAGTGTCTGTAGGTGGCACTCTTAGCTCTGATCACAACTCTCCCAAGAGGAATTTAAGCTGGCTGTGGAGAAAGTACAGATGGAAGCTAAGTTTGGCCAGTTGGCTCTAGGACAGGGAGCCCAAAGTTGGGCTCAGTATCCCTTGGGCACCCAGAGGGGTTCCCATCAACCCACAGACATTCCCTTAGGCTCACTCACTTTCCGACGATCTCATTCACCGGTTCAGACTCTTCACTCCCAATTTCTAAATCATTAGTTAGCAGTTGTGTGTTACTGTGGTTTGACCTTAGGGCTTACCTGCTAGCCTACCCCCAGCAGAAATCCTAGGTGTTCCAATGCTCTGCACAGTGATTTTCATCTCGCAAGGAGATCCTATAGCTGGGGCAAAATCCCCTGGGTACACCTCCCTCCTTGACAGAAAAAGTGGAGTAAGCACCATTGCTGTGAATCCAGACCCCCAACACCAGTGGTGACTTGGTGGAATTTCTGACCAAACCTTGGGGGAGGGGAGCTCCCCACCTCCTCTTTTACAGCAAACAAACAAACAAACAGCACCAAGAGACCTCAGAAAGGGGTGGGGGTAGGGGGAACTCTTGATTCCTTCAGCTGCATTTGTGGTTCAAATAGAAGCAGGGAATACTATAAATGTTCTGACGCGGATTGGGGGTATTTTTATGTTGACAGATGTACATGTGGGAGCCGCCTGTGGTACCACTTTAGAACCAAGGCTCCCAATTGCCTGGGTCATTAAAGCCAGGTGTTCTGTCTTGACTGAGTCTTAACCTCCGTTTGGGGAGAAAGCTTACATCTGCCTAGACCAGATTGGCCCCACTGGTGAGAACAGGCTTGTGCTTTTGTGGAAAGAAAGACTATCCAGTAAAACAAACAAAAAAACCCCGGTGTTTATTGCGAGCTGATGACAATGGATGTGGCTTAGACCCCCAGCTCTGCTTCTGTGGGCCTGGCAGACCTGAAAATGGCTGCAACAGTTTATAAACTGCCAGCAGCCCAGGGCCCAGATCTGGGGGAAGTGTCTGGAATACTGAGGGCAACGGGGTAGTGGGAGAGAGTTGTACTGTGAGTTCAAGTTCAACACAGAAAAAAATGAACATTTCTTCTCCATCCTTTCCATTCTTCTGATTTCTTTGTTTCTGTTTATGCCACAGCATTTCCCCCAAAGCTGAAAATCTGAATTTCCTGCATCCTCCTTCACTTTCATCTTTTGTATTCAATCAGCAGCCACATCTTGCCAGTTTTACTTTGTCCTGTAAATCTTACTTAAGTCTGCACTTCTTACAAACACACACACACACACACACACACACACACACAGGCCACACATCCTTCCATTTTCCGTCGTCACCACTCTAGCTCAGGCCTTTATTAAATGGCTTTCCCACCTCAAATATCACTTTCTGCCTGTGTTCTTGGCACTCACCGCTGAGACACTGATCAGGTTACTCACCTCCTCATAAATCATAAAGTGGCTACTCACTAACAATAAAGCCCAGACTCCTTATTTAAGAACTATATGCCTGTTGAGGGAGGAACCGTATTTAATTCATAATTCTTTTTCAGAGTGGCTAGGACTCCAAAATATTTACTGACTTGAATTCAAATGAACGAATACAAGGTCTTTCATGTTGCCTCATAATTTGCTGTATTAGCTTTACTCTCTGTAGCAGATGCCATCAGTGGCTCACCCCGGAGGGTCACCTGCCACTTCAGGATGCTGTTCTCCGTACACTAAAGAGGTTTCTTTCCCCAAGCCCCTGGGGCTCCTTGCCTGAGGGCTTTTTCCAGCTGCAGGAGCATGCTCAGCTGAAAGTGCCATTGAAGCAGCAGCCCTCAACCATTGACAGATGGCAGTTGGTGGATAACTACCCCAGCTTCCTTGTCCCTTGGGATGACAATACTGAACTGTGTTCTCCACGGTCTTTTAGCAGATCTCTGGTGAGAACGTGTTCCAGTTGCCCACAGTGGCAACCCATTAATTCACCTTTCATTTGCTTTCCCTCCCTGCCCTGGCTGATGGCACTACACTCTCTTTTGGGTTTCCTGGAGTCACTCCAGAATAAGCTATGTGAATCCAATTCTTGTCTCAGGCTTGCATTTAGAGGAACTCAAGCTTCCCTACACAACTCTAGCCACACCCATTGCATTACAATTATGAATGAAAATTCCATTTATCTTTCAAGTCCTCACATTATACTTCTCCTAAGATGTAAAGTATATCCTTCCTTACATGATAATCTTTATGCATTTGTTTTATTTCTTTTACTAGACAATCAGTTCACTGGGAATATGTTGACTTTATCTTTGCATCCACCATAGTGCCTGGCACTAGTAAGTGCTCAATACGTGTATGTTGACTAGTACTTAAGTGGGTGGTCACAGATGGAAATCTTTCCATCTCCACCTGTCTGGTCCCTCACTGCCTGATGCA